TGCATCAGCTGTTAACTGGCCATGGCTTAACAATGAGACACTGAGCAGGAGTTGGGCTGCTGAGGCTTAAAATAGACGTGTTAGTTTGTTTGAGTCCAGTTTTAGCTTGTCACAATCTTAGAGTGGAGATTAAACAACTTAAGGGTGTCTGCATAGCAAAAATAGCGCCAGATTGCTTCACAGAACCGAGCCATTTCTGAGTGCGTTCCCATGTTTTGGGTTTTGCAGAAGGCCAACACAACAGACCAAACATGTGTGACGATGATGAGACCACCGCATTGGTGTGCGACAATGGCTCTGGTTTGGTCAAGGCGGGGTTTGCTGGTGATGATGCCCCCCGCGCCGTCTTTCCATCCATTGTTGGACGCCCCCGTCACCAGGTGAGGCAACTGCTAATGACCCTTTGCATGTGACGTCACTTAATCAATCAAAGTGAGGAACATGGGTATTGAACAGAGCGACTGAAATTGTTTTCCAAAGTTGTTTTTCCCAATTTATTCATGGCTTCTGCTTGCTCAAGTCAAGCTAATTTGTCCACATATACAAGATGCTAACCATTTTTTTTCATACATGCTAGGCTACTTGATTGTGGAGTGTTGTTTGCATGGTTACTGGTGGTCAGATGCACCTTCTACATCTTTATAATCATAATTACTTATAAAGTAAATAAACATCAATCTTCTTACCTTGTAACAAGTGTTCGCGGAGTTCTGACGTCACACGCAAAGAGTCAGTAACTAAAAGGTAGATTTTTCATATCTGAAATGAATTTGTGTCGCTGGCAGGGTGTGATGGTGGGTATGGGTCAGAAGGACAGCTACGTGGGAGATGAGGCCCAGAGCAAGAGGGGTATCCTGACCCTGAAGTACCCCATCGAGCATGGCATTATCACCAACTGGGACGACATGGAGAAGGTGAGACATGGAAGCGAATCAGCAGTAAATGTGAGGTGAAACATCAAAATCAATCATCACTTTTTAATGTTTCTAGATCTGGCATCACACTTTCTACAATGAGCTCCGTGTGGCTCCAGAGGAGCACCCCACCCTGCTGACTGAAGCCCCTCTCAACCCAAAGGCCAACAGAGAGAAGATGACTCAGATCATGTTTGAAACCTTCAATGTCCCTGCCATGTATGTTGCCATCCAGGCTGTCCTGTCCCTCTATGCCTCTGGACGTACCACTGGTGAGACTCTACCACAGTTTACGCCACATCACAGTAAAAGTGAACTCTTTGGTGAAGAATTTTTAAAAAATTTTTCTCAACAGGTATTGTACTGGACTCTGGGGATGGGGTGACACACAACGTACCAATCTATGAGGGTTACGCTCTGCCGCACGCCATCATGCGTCTTGATCTGGCTGGTCGGGACCTCACTGACTACCTGATGAAAATCCTGACTGAGCGTGGCTACTCTTTTGTCACCACAGGTATTATAGTGTTACCAATTATAAAAGTAAAACTAAAATATTACATCTAGTATTAGCAAATCACTTAGTTTAACTAAAAATCCACTATTGGGTGATAAATCTTTAGAAATAGTTAAAAACAATGTCTAAAATTTTTTATTTCAACAAAAGATATAGTGTATTTCTTGCAAATAAAAACTAATATAGCTTAGCCTAAACTTTATACTAAACATATTCAACACTTTTAAGCTTAGAACATTATGTACTTAAAAGGAGACAAATGGATGTTTTGCTAATGTCACCAGATGTAGCATTAGCAAATTATTTTCTTAACAAATTAATAAACCAAAAAATTAATTCTTCATTTATCTAAAGCACCTTTTAAATTAGTATTTACAAAACACATATGCACTGCAATGTAAAACACAAGTGTTTACTTTTTAGTTGACTCTCGAGATGAAGCTAGCAAATCTGTGCTAAGCTAATGGAAAAGCCTGATTAGGTTTGCTTGAAAAATAAAGAATAATGAATCGTTAAGTGTGATTACAATTTGTTCAATTTAAATGCAATTTCTTTAGATCATGAAAAGTTTATTACTGATTTAAAAAAATTTACATTTAATTGTACTGGATTAGACCAGTTTTGAATGATTAACTAGCAAACCTGTGCTAAGCTACTGGTTATAGCTGGTTCTGTATACTTAAAAAACTATTTAAAAAAAATTAAGTCTGATTACATTTGTTCAATTTAAACACAACTTCTCCTTAAGAAGATTAAAAATTGACTGGTGAGTAAATAATTGTTACAAGCACTGGAACAAACTATCTCTAGCAAACTTGTGCTAAGCTAATGGATACAGCTAATTTGTTTGAGAAACAATATATAAGTTGTCATGTGATTATCTAGTTCATTGGAGTTCACATGTTGAATGTCTGGTGATACTTTTTGAATGAACTGAGATCATGTTTCTCTCCAGCTGAGCGTGAGATTGTGCGAGACATCAAGGAGAAGCTGTGCTATGTAGCACTGGACTTCGAGAACGAGATGGCGACCGCCGCCTCCTCATCCTCCCTGGAGAAGAGCTACGAGCTTCCCGACGGCCAGGTCATCACCATCGGCAATGAGCGTTTCCGCTGCCCAGAGACTCTGTTCCAGCCTTCCTTCATCGGTGAGCCAAGACCCGCAGCAACAACCAAAACAGACCGAAACAACAGAAACATTTTACAAAAACATTGGCAAAAAAAAAAATTAAGCTGTTTTACTTCCATGGTAAAATATATTTTTGGAGAAAACGACAATCTGCTATAATTATTTTGACCACAACCATTGTTTTACATATACATGCAAGTTTTCAGTTGTAAATTTTAGTTTTTATGTATATATGAATTATGTCATGTATTAGTGCCACTGTGGATAGAAAACAAGAGTAAATTTCTGTGAGAAAAATTTCTGAAATGTTCTTGAAAAAAGATGAAAATGTTTTAGTTTGAATAATCAAAAATGTGCTACAGAAAAAAAAAGAAATTTTTAGATCACAGAAGTTTTGTAGAAAAATCTTGGAAATATCTGATGTTGGAAAAGTTGCAAATTTGTGAGAAAGACTCTAATTTTCTAAAATAAAAAAAAAAACGTTGAAATTTCAAATTTTGAAAAATGTAAGATTTTTTTAACATTTCAAGCTCAGAAATCTCCATGTTTTTTCAAGAGATTGTTCTTTTTTTATAGCAAACTTGCAACTTTTAAAACTCATTTTCCAAATATCAAAAATTGCTGACTTTTCAAAGTTTCAAAAGTTAAAAATTTTTAGTTTTTGAAACAAAGAACATTTCCAAAATGTTAAAATTTTGTACTATTCAACTCAGAAATTTCCACGTTTTCTAGAAAATTTTTCAAATTTACAACTTTTCAAACTCAGATAATTTCCAAATATTGAAAATTGTTGCGTTTTCAAACTTATGCTAATCTCAAAATTTCTCTTTTTTTCTATCGCATTTTCATTTTTTGAAGTTTCCACAATTTTTTCTAGCATTTTTCTGAGATTAATCTAAATATTTCAGATTTTTCTGGTGGAAATGTACTCTCTTTATTCTCCGTGTAATGACCCTAAAATGCCACTGTTGGACTGAAATATTACATATTTAAAACAAAAAGAAAGAATATTAGCTGTTTAGGTTTTGAGCTATTGCGAATTATTTGATTTGAAATGTTTTCTCTAAACTTCACATTTCACTGTAAATTTATGAAACATTTGTTGTGTAACTTTCTCAGGTATGGAGTCTGCTGGCATCCATGAAACCGCTTACAACAGCATCATGAAGTGCGACATTGACATTCGTAAGGACCTTTATGCCAACAACGTGTTGTCTGGTGGAACCACCATGTACCCTGGTATTGCCGACCGTATGCAGAAAGAAATCACCGCCTTGGCCCCGAGCACCATGAAAATCAAGGTGAGCATGACTCCTTATGGGAAGCTATACGGTATACATTTTTTGGAAAAACCTTTCTCTCATGTCTCCTTGCAGATCATTGCTCCTCCTGAGAGGAAATATTCCGTTTGGATCGGTGGCTCCATCTTGGCGTCTCTGTCCACTTTCCAGCAGATGTGGATCAGCAAGCAGGAGTATGATGAAGCCGGCCCCTCCATCGTCCACAGGAAGTGCTTCTAAATCACCAATCAGAGCCAAAACCAGAACCAACAACCAAACTAGCTTACTTTCCATAACTTTATTTCTACTGTGTTGTGATGTATATACATGTACTGTTGTAATAATAAATAGTTTTTTAAAATGCAGTTCAAAGGTTTGGAGATTTGTTTTTGTCTATTAGTTATATTTTGTTTTGATAAAATTACATTTAATGATGTTGTAAGTATTTGGTGGGTTTGGTAACAACTTATTTAAAAATACTAAAAGCCAGCACAATAACAATACACTATCAGCAGTCATTGATTATTATTATTACTATTTAGTTTGAGTTTTGGAGATTATTTTACAAATGATCAAATGGTTTGGTTTCAGTCTGATTACATTTTATTCAATTTAAGTACAACCTCTAATTGAGGTGAAAAGCACTTGCATTAAATAAATAGAGGGATTGTCAGCAGCCACTCTACTGCGCATGCGTAAATTGCTTCAATATTGCCAGTTAGTAATGTTTGACGTTTGTGCCATTTTCTCTCATCATTTATCGACTCACTCCCGTTTAATGCTTACGGGTCGTTCGGACGCATCTCATTCATAAATGTTAATTAGGTAGAATAACTTATTTTTATTCCGCTGGGATAAAAAACGTTGTAGCACAGCGACTCACAACATGCTAACAGTAAAAACAACAAGATGAACGCGGGTAACCATGGGAACCAGAGGTCTCCCAACGGCTCCCTGTGCTCAAGCTGCGCGCGCATCCGCTATGTTTACGAGTAAATAATCCCCTTATTAGTAAAGAGAATGAAAACTGGGGAGGTTTTATCCTCAAAGCCTTCCCTTAGTTGAAGAATAGTTTATTTTTTCTATTGGAAGAGTGAAAAATGTCGAGTAAAAATGTTGAGCAAGATAAAAACTCATGTCAACTATCTTCCCTTTGTCACCTGAATGCAACACTTCCCTTCTTCTGTGTCCCAGGTGAAACTCATCAGTATAATTAGCATATTAGAGCTTTCTTCTATGTCTGTAGGTTCATTTTCTTAGGTATTTTGCCAGGTTCACAGAAAACTGCTGGCTGCTCTTGGATTCTTGTTTTTGAAATGAAGATTACAGACAGTAACGTGATTAGATTTCACCTCCAAGCCCTTTATGGGATTCATGTGAAGAACTTTGCAAAGAAGAAAGGGAAATTGGTGTACACTGGAGCCAAGGTGTTTGGGGTCCCTCTGGAAAATTTGCCCAGACGATACATTCCTGAATTTGGTCTTGTACCCTGGTAAGTGAATGCAGCAAGTAAACACTGATTGGCTTGACTGAACCCAGTGTTTTGTTTTCCATCTTAGCTTTTTAGTGGATGGTTGCTCTTTTCTGTTGGACCGTATTGCTACTGTGGGCCTGTTCAGAAAACCAGGCTCCCTTCCTCGTGTTAAGATCCTCAGGGTAAGATGTATCTTCCATGTAAACCGTATTAAATACTCACATGCAGTACTTTTTATCTGTTTTCTATGTTTATAACTACCATGCATCAACATAAACATTACTTTTTTAGGAGAAATTGAATCGTGGGGATGATGCCTTGTCCACTGCTTCCCCCTATGATATCGCTACCCTGGTCAAACAGTTTTGCAGGGAGCTTCCTGAGCTCCTGTTCCCATCTGAGGTTCATGCAGCCCTGCTGAAAGCGCAGGCCATCCCTGACCTCCAGGCCAAGATGGCCGCCCTCCAGTTACTGTCCTGTTTGCTTCCAGCCAGAAACTCATCCTGCTTGCAGTATCTGTTTGACTTCCTTCACAAAGTTTCTCAGAGGTATGAATGAATATTAAGAGTGGGGAATATTGGAGCCATAGACACAGAAAATAGTTTTTTGTTTGTTTTGTTTGCAAAGTATTACCACTGAGACACACTTATAGGAAGAAAAAATGGATGAAAATATCAGCCATTTACTTCTCTGGATTTTGCAACATTTTTTTCCCTCTAAAACGTGTTCAAACAATGACATCACAGGCTGTAAACCTGGCTAGTTTGACCCCATACAGTGACGCAACATAGTGACACGAGTAAAGCGCACAAATATAATTTAAAGGCATTTACATGCCTCATCATGAGTTGTGATAAACAAGCGAATGTTGCAGAAAAGACAAAGATGACAGGAAATGGTAAGATGATGCTGGTGTAGTTTTTTTTTGTTTTTTTTTAATAAATCACTTATCTTGTGAACAAAACTATTCCTATTTTTAAATGCTGCATCATTTAGAGTCAGTTTTATTTCTTCCGGAGTCTTTATTTTAGAGTTCTAGTTTACAAAAAGATAATGTTGACATATATCAGTTCTCTGTTGGGCCATTTTGTTTGTCGGAGTGCTCTCAAACTGAGAATGAAATTAGTCCTAATCATAAACAAATTTTCTCCTTCTTTCCTCAGATGCTCTGACAACTTGATGACCAGCTCCAATCTGGCCACAGTCTTCGTCCCATGTCTCTTACCGCCGCCCAACAAAACCGAAATGTCACAAGAACGACTTGAACTTCGAGTTCTTGTCCTGCGCACTTTCATAGAGTTTCCTCATGTTTTTGGTAATAAATTAATTATATTGGCTGGATATCATTTTAAAATGTCTTTGGCTGACTTTCTTTTAAATGCATCATCTTTTAGGTGTGATTCCTAAATCTGTTATGGACAGCATGAAATATTTTATTCATCTGGAGGATGTGTGCAAGAAAAGAAACCAAAAGATGCGCAGCTTAACAGGTAAAATACATTTATTCCTGAGGAATTTAAATTTACTTGATTGAAGTTGCATTTTTTTTTCTCAGTAAAACGATCTGAGAAGATTATGCTCTGGATTCAGAGTAAGCCAAAGCTCAGACTAACAGTTTCTGAGCCGACTCTTATCTGCGTAACGAGAGGTGACCCAAAGCTGAGGAGAAGCATTGGTCTGGAAACCTTCCCCAACATCCAGCTGTTCAGGACAAGCATGCCTAACAAAGGTAGAAATTATTTTAAAATGGACAACGCTTCTGTTGTGGAAAGAATAACTAATATGCATGTTTGTAGATCAAAGCTGCAGATCTTCAAACAAAACTTTTGTTACTGCCCTGGAGAGACTGCAGCACAAAAACTGGAGGAGACGTTCTTCACCAATCTGAATTTTACTTGTGTCCCATGTCTGTCCATCTCTGAAAAATATTGGAACAAATTTTGTTGTATCAGACTTTTTTTCTCTTTTAAATAAATGTTTTTATGTGACTTACCTTTTTGACTGAAGTGCAGAAAAGTACTTGACTTCTTCCTTAGATTACAAATGTTTTCATGTTAAATCAACAAACTTCAGTACATTTTAATGCAAACCAGAGTGAAGTAAAATGTTTGAACAAATATGAAAAGTGCCATGCATTTCCTTAAAAATCAGCTTTTAGATCCACCTCTGAGTGCCATTGAAACGAATCTTGCTTGGTTTTAAGTTAATCATTTCCACTTTCCTAATCCTAAGAATTTTCTAATTTAAACATTGTTAAAACTTAAACTTTCTTCCTGATAGTGTCTCAGTATTTAAATGTAGTTTTGAATCGTGAACATTTTTTTTACTGTTCAGCATGGAATAAATTGATTATATAGTTTTAAAGGCCTTATCAGGTCATATAGAAGCAATTTAACTAAAGCTTTTCATTTAAAAATATCAGCATTAAAATTTCTGCGGTATTTCCAAGTTGAACAATTAAATGAAATTATAAACAAAATGGCGTAAGTATGCCACCAATGAGGAAATAGGAATTCTGGTTTCCTAGCAACTGCTTCTGGTCCGTGAAGCGGTTTCACAACACCGGAAATGTGACTTTCAAATTAAGTTACACTATTTAGTTGGTTGCACCAAATCTGTGTTTAACAACGAGTTGGTGTATCAATCGTTGTAACCTGAGCGATAACTGTTAAATATTAACATTTTCTGTATGTAACATTGATTGAAAGTGGCTGGAAATTCGCTTTTGCACGAGTTACTTTGAGATGTCGGACTAATGTATTTTATTCTGAAAGTAAAACGGAAGTCGTGTTTTCATCGTGATTGACTTGACGGAGTAAACAGGTTCGTCCGTCTACGCATTCAAGGTAAAGAAAAACATTTTTTTGTATTTGTGCGTTTCTTTTTCAAATGTACATAAAATAAACTTATTAAAAAGAACAGATCATGCGGTTGAATTTAACGTGTAATCTGATTATTTTCGGCTGTTTCCAGAGAGTGGCGCATCATAAATGTATATCCATTTCATAATTTTACACTTTAGATAACGGCTTGCTCCATTCAGTCTGTTCTGATTTAGGGTCAAAGTTCAGGCTAATTATTTACTGACTCAGTATAAACAGCTGTTCGTTGATGGTTACGTGCCATTTGTCCAAAGATGCTTCGTGTGCGCTTCTTCACCCCCGCAGATGACAGAAATGGGATCCTCGGCGCGGCTCTCTCTGCTCGGACTGCTGCTGGGCCTGCAGCTCGGTGGAGCTGCAGCCCGCAGCCCCCGCACGGCGGTGGACCAGGTGTCCGAGGCCGACATCCAGCGGCTGCTGCACGGCGTCATGGAGCAGCTGGGCATCGCTCGGCCCCGGGTGGAGTACCCCGCACATCAGGCCACGAACATCGTAGGGCCTCAGAGCATACAAGGTAATCAAAACCACCCCTCATTTTAATAAAATGTTTTCACCAGTCTGTTTGTTCCTTAAGGAACAATCTGGAGTAAGATTAGGAGCACCGCAGAAGTGACAGAAGTAAGATGTTTGTTTTTTTTAATTGTAGGAATGATGTTGATGGTTGTCATGCCTCTTCTGCCCACCAGGTGGTGCTCATGAAGGCCTGCAGCACCTCGGTCCTTACGGAAACATCCCAAACATCGTGGCTGAGCTGACAGGCGACAATGTTCCCAAAGACTTCAGCGATGACCACAGCTACCCAGACCCTCCAAACCCCTGCCCCCTGGGAAAAACTGGTAGGAACTTTAAAAATAACCTCCATTTCTATGTTCTGAGCCACCAATGTAAATATGCAGACAGACAGTGACTTTTAAAAGCAATAAATGCCTAAATAAAGGCATTTATTGCTTTATTTTATTTTGCAAATTGTAGATTTGCTTAGGTTTTGTTAAACTTAAGAGGATGAATGTGTCTTTTATTGGCAGCTTTATACATGCATTTCATCAATATTAAGGAATTTACTTAAAACAAGTCTCTATCTTGCTAAAATTTACCTGTGAGTTAATTTTGTTATTTCAAGCTTGCTATGAACTAGATCAAAAATATTTGGTAATTTTTGTTTTTACAGTATACAAAAAAACTTAAAACAGGGAATATTTAATTTTTGTTGGTGAGGATTTACATCGGATGGTATAACGACGAATAATGTCTATTTTCTGACACTTTATTAATTCATGAAAGTATCTGATTTTTGTATTTATTTATTTTTATTCTCAGCAGGAGATGGTTGCTTGGAAAATGCTCCGGACACGGCTGAGTTCAGCAGGGAGTTTCAGAAACACCAGCACCTCTTCGACCCAGAGCATGACTACCCCGCTCTGGGAAAGTGGGTGAGGGAATCGGCAAACACTTACAATTATTTCTAAAAATGATTCAATGTAATGTTATCAGAAGCTTCAAACTGATCTAAATTTGGGATCTTTGAGCTTCTTTGTTTTAGATTATTTCCCTCCATTTGGGCAAAATATAAACTTTATTTTAAATTGAGATCTTCCATTTCCTGCAAAATGTTATTATATATTTGGTGTTTGATTTGAAAACACATGAGGTACAACTTTGTTTACATTTTTCTTTGTTTTCTTTCAGAACAAAGAGCTTTTATACCAAAAGCTGAAGGGAGGACCAAAGAGAAGGAAAAGGGTAAAATATTTAACTTTTTTTTTTTTTTTAATACTTTTGCCCTTTTTTTCCATTTGTAGGATTAAGTTTGAGAAATGTCCTCAGTGTATCGTAAGCCTGGCGGGCCACCTGGCTTTACTTATGCTCCATCAGGCTAAACATTACCTGTTTAAGTTTTTGTTAAGTGTTTGGTATTCAGATGTTAATTTTCCAATAACACATAATTATCAAGTGATATTTTTAACTCAAAAACACGATGGATAAATGACTGCCAAGCCCCCAACCAGCAGGCTTTGTATATATATATATCTTTTTTTTTTACTTGCATATGTTTTAATTTTATAAATATACTCTTTTTAGGGTAGGTACTTGGATAGAGCCATCTGTTTCCAGAGTGGAATAATTATACAACAAAGCAACTTTTGTAATTTATAAAAAAAAAAAAAAAAAAAAAATTGGGTGTGCAAATTTATTTTCTTGTAGATTTGCTCTTAAACCACACATGCAGCATTTAAATGCATTGGTGCATCTTATAGTGTAGGTGGAATAATGAAGACAAAGGACAATTTAATGTGAAGTGTAAAACATTCAGTTTTGGTGTCGATAATCTCAAACAGTTGATCCTGAATAAATTAATCCTTCTAATAAACCAATATGAAACCAATATTTATGAAGTTGCGTAAATATTCCTCATGTCTGTTTCCACAGAGCATCAACCCTTATTTACAGGGTCAAAGGTTGGACAACGTGGTTGCCAAGAAATCTGTTCCCAATTTCTCCGAAGAAGAAGCGTCGACCACCGCGGCTCCCAGCAAACCTGCAATCTGAAATGTGGGAAAACTTGGAAAATGTTTGTAGGCTCCACATTCAAGGATTTGTTTCATCAGTCATTGGGACAGTGTTTTCAGCAGAAACGCTGCATTTTCATTGACTTAAAATTCTGCCAAGATCTATCTGGTGATTCGCCTAAAGCACGTGTCAAACTCGAGGCCTGGGGGCCAAATCTGGCCCGCCGTAGCTTTTTATGTGGCCCTCTAGACTCCAGATCGCATCAATTAGTCCCTCCAGTTTTACACAAAGCTGCAGAATTTATGCAAAATCTGCAGATTCTCACATTTTTTTTATTTTTACTGCAAAGTTTTCTCAAAATTGGCCAAAGAGTTTAAGTGCCTCAACTTTACCTGATGTTGAGCTACAGTCCAGGACCGATGCAGCAATTAATAAAAATCCAAATTTGGCATCATAATTATAATTGAAACTTCTTACAAAAATTTCTAAATTAGTGCCACAAAAACTATCTCAAAATCTTGGATGTGTGAAAAGATGTTAAATATTTAATTTTAAGAAACGGCTATTTATTGACATTGACAATGTCTGGAGGTTAAATTATAGCTTATTTATTCACAGCAGTACAGAGAAAACTTTTACTCACATTTTTTAAAAATTTTATGATTCATTTGTCTCTTAAACATCCATAAACCTGCTTTTATTTAAAATCTGCTTATGAACATCTTCACTGCCGCATGACACATATTTGGAGCTTTTTCTCTTCATGATGCAGTGACTCTTATCTTGTTTACTGCATCTTGTCAAAATGTTTGTCTTCTGTTCTTGTTTTGTAAAGTCAAATAAACGACTTATCTGCATTGACAAAGTCTGGAAGTTTTGTTTGTTTTTTTCCTGTTTCCATAAAGATAAAGTGAGGATCGGGGTGGGAGGTGTTTTCTTCTGCTGACACTTAAAGCTGCTTCAGAGAAGCCAGGACAAGCAGAGGGAGAACATCTTGAGCACATAACAAAGTTATTTAGGGGGATTTAACACACAGCAGGTAAGCGGAGATACACGACGGACTATTTCCTGAATTAGAGCTTGGACAGTTCTGGAGAAAATTTAGACCTCTTAAAACACTCAGTTTCTGTTTACTTTTTATAGGTTTATGTTTTAGTAAAATGAACACCGTTTTATTCTATAAATACTGATGTCTGAACAAAAATTTATTTGCAGAAAATAAAGATGCAAAGAAAAGGTTCATATTCATTTAGAAACACCGTTTCTACTCTGGAAGAGTTCAGAAATCAGTATTTGGAGGAATAACCAGGAAGTTTTCAGCGGGGTTCACTGCAGGTGGCTTTTCAGAGCTTTATGTCAAGTTTTGGATGTAAAAATAAAGGAAATAAGGGAAATTCACAGGACAGAGGGGTAAAATACGGTTGTTTCCTGGCCAAAACGGGAGTTTGTGCGTAAAAGCTGTGCGTAAAATGCTCTCCATTGTTCTCTTTTCAGCTTCAGCGATGCATTCCCATTCGGGTCTGATCTTTAAAGCAGTCCTGGCTCTTCTGTTTCCGCGGCCGAGCAGCGCCGAGTCCGACCCATTTCAAGCCGTCAACCCGAACGAATCGGACGGATGCCTCCAGCCTCCTCTCTCCGCGCTTCTCTCCCGCGGCGCCGCGTCCTCAGCCGTGACAGATGAGATCCTGGAGTCCAGCCGGGAGGCGCTGCTCGTCACGGAGCGCCGCTACCTGCGGACGGACTGGTGCAAGACGCAGATGCTGAAGCAGACCGTCCAGGAGGAGGGCTGCCTGAGCCGCACCATCACCAACCGCTTCTGCTACGGACAGTGCAACTCCTTCTACATCCCGCGGCACACTTACCAGGACGGCGGCGTGTTCCAGGCATGCTCCGCCTGCAGACCGAAGACGTTCAGCACCATCACCCTCACGCTGTTTTGTCCGGGTCAGACGCCCAGCACGCGGAGGAAGCGGGTCCAGCGCGTGAAGCAGTGCCGCTGCGTAAACATCAACACGGACTGAGCCACAGCTGGATGACAGGACCGTCAATAAATCAAGAAAACGGCGTCAGGGTACCAGACTGAGGACACCTTGGATGATGAAACTTGACTGAACTGCTGTAGAGTCCAAAGCCGGCCCAAGGCATGTGCGAGTTACCAGGCTGCTTGGGGCCCCAACACCACCACGGGGCCCCAAGAGCAACATTTTATTTTATTTTGTAGTGATGAATTGTTTAATTTTAATTTAATTTTGGGTTTTGTTACTTCTATTCTGTTATCATCAAAACTAAATGGATAATAATACTTGAAATTGATCATTCTCTGTGTAAATGTTTCAGTTTCAGTAAAAAGTAGTTCAAAGTGGTATTCTAATTTATTGAGCTGATTTTTGTATTCTGCTGCTTAAATAAACAAAATACACCATGGCTTTGTTATAATGTTTTATTTTTGAAAAAAGATGCAGTGAAAATCCATGAAAGTTTATTTTTGTGAAAATAATTACAAATCTTTAAAAAATCTAATAGTTGGATATGAACTATCTACATTGTTAAAACTTAAATTACATTAAAGAACAAATATTTTGGTCGGCTGATGAAAATGTAGATTTTCTGTCCTGGTCCTCTTCTGGTTCTCTCCAGATATCTGGGGATATTTAAATATCAGGAGCCAAAAGTTAAAATTTTTAAGGAGAAGAAACTTGAGCTTCTTTCTGGCGCAGTCGTTCCTTCTGTTGGAAGCAAAATATTGGATTAGATCAGCGGTGTCAAACTCATTTTGATTTTGGGCCAAATTAAGATAATCAATGCTCTGAAAGGGCCGGTTGTGCCAGATTGTTTTGGTAAACCCTGTTCACAAACTTCTAAAATATCAATCATTAAAATGAAATAATATTATTGAACATCTTTCAGTCCCTCCAGGACTTTTTGATTTTACTGGAATGAAAATCAAAGTGTTTGTGGTACTAATTTGAAAATATTTCTGCTTATTTATAACGGTAAATGCTAAGGAATGCTGCATGGTATCAGTATCGGACAATATTAGCTGTAAAATTTAACATCGGACATTGGCTATTCTGTCAAAATAATCCACTGATATAAAAGACATTTTTATATGGCAAACAAGAGACAATTATGCCTGCAGCACAAAGCCAAATTTGTTTTGTCATTGTCTTAGAGAGCAAATGTTATGAATAAATTTGACATTAAACATAATGCAAGTTGAAAATGTTACATTTCAGCCTCCATTTTAATAAGAATGTTGACTAACATGGACTTGCACCATTCAGTATGTTAAAATTAACACATAAGCTAAAATGCTAATGTTAGCATGAATGCTGTCAGTAGCATGTGGGGCATCACTAGCATGTTGTCTGTCATTGACTTACTCCATTCAGTATACTAAACATGGCTAACAAGTAAGAAAAATAGGTAAACGCTTTCTTTAGGAAAAAGGCTAATGCTAACATTAGCACAAACATTAGCATTTCACTGACCCACACTAGTGCACTGCCTTACACAGCAAAAAATAAAATCTGCAATAAACACCCAGGTTTTAGCTCAATTGGTTGATGTTGAGAGAATTTACACAATAATTCTGTAGAAACTGGCGGGATTGATTGATACAATTTGGCAGTGAAGATAAAAACTGCATTGATTTGATTGATAACATGATATTTAAACTCACTTAATGTTTAGTTTAGAATGTAGAGGGCCACATAAAAAACTACGGCGGGCCAGATTTGGCCCACGGGCCTCCAGTTTGACACATGTAGTTTAGAAGTCAGAACAAGCAAAGACATTGATAAATGTCAAAAGCTGACGTCGTACCAGACTGTTGGGGTTAATCTTCCTTGTTTCGACTTTCTTCTCCCCAGTGATCCTCTTCACTGTCAGCTGAGCCTCTTTTAATCTGTCGGATTAAAACCGGAGCATTCAGAGTGATGCTGCTGAAGTTTTTCCAGACGTGGAAGAAATTAGAGTCGAAGGAAAACTCTCACAGTGTTTCCTCTGAGGTTAGTGGATAACTTAATAATATCCAGAAATTAAATGTGAAAATTTCACATTCAGACACACAAACCTTTCTTTTGAGATGTTTTTGTTCTCCCTCTTCCATCGGGCCTTGAAGTCGGCGCTGAACTCAAACCACAGCATGAAGAGGTGACCCGGTGTCACCTCCTTCTCTCCGGGTTTGGGTTTTAGTCCGAAGTACAGAGCAACTTCCTGGAAACTGAACACAGAGACCCACAAGACACAAACTTTAAAATAAATCTGGCCAGAAATGTAGAGAAATCACATCTTTCATTCTAATTATTTATTTTCCCACAAAACTTCACTGGAGACGCAATAATAAATTAATTTTCCATCAATTGATTCTGGATATTACATCAGAGAATAATTTCTCTAATAAATTTGTTCACCTAAAATATTGCGATTAAGTTATAATAAACTGTATTTCATTGAGTTGCATGTAAATGTTTTAATTGTTGGTAAATAAGAAAAGTTTACCAAATTTGATATATTTATGTAATTCTAAATATAAAAAATTACATAAAAATAAAGATATTACAAACCAGAGGTTAATTTAAACTTTAATAAAACATAATGGAAACAAAAAAGCTGAAAACAACAAAAATTGTATCTTTGAATACTGAAATTAAAATAGAAAATTAGATTTTTTTTTAAATGTCTGCATAAACACTGCTTTAATAAGAATTGCATTGAATAGTTTAATTTTCTCACGTTTTTTGCATAGTCATCAGCTGATATGAAGCTTCTGCATGCTCCTTTCGAGCTGCAGAGAAAAACAGAAAGAAACATTGAATTAATCCTCCTCTTCAGGCTGCATCCTGCTGCAAGCCTACAAACATACATGCATGCAGGAGAATAGGGAATGATGACAAGTCTGTCTAATAGAGCTGGACGACCATTTAGCTTCTGAAAAACTTTAATTACACAGTCATTCCTCAAACAGTAAGGCCATTGTTCAGACTGTGGCGCCGTTATGATAAAATAAGTCGTTCTAGTTATTATCTTCTGCTCTCTCTTACTGAATGTTCTGGCAGTCTGCTGCAGACCTCAGAAAAAAGTCTCATCGACTCAAAGCCAAAACATTGTTTGGATTAATTCTGACAAGAAAAACTGCAAAATAAGAAAGCTGAGTGAAATACTGCACCTAAAATTGATTGAAATAAAACTTTAATGGCTTAATTGTGAAGTAAAGAAAATTAACAGATGCAAAATTTGCAAATTATTGCAATAAAAATGATTGCTTCCTATAAGAAATGTGACATAAACAACCCAATTTATACAAAATGCGTGCTTATTTTCTCCTGAGACAGGGACATAAAGATCTACAAAGAGAAAAAACAAAAGTATATGTAGAAAAAATATTTTAAAAGAGCTCAGGACCAGAACAAATGAGAGAAAACACAAACAGATAAGAAAGACATAAACGGATTTTCTTAGACAAAAACATATTTACATTGACATTTCCTTATTCTGGAACATTTATTCCTTAACCTCCTCTTTTAACATGCACATATAAAAATATTATTTTATCTTATTTTATATTCTCACCAGTTAAAACAAAAACTTCCATCTTGTCCTTAAACGGATGGAGGTGTTCTTCAGAAGATTCTGAACAGACTTTATGAATATTTTTCTCGCATCCTAAAGTAAAAATAAAAACAAAAAGTACAACTTAATATGACAGAACAATATTAATTTCATTGAGTATAAAAATAAACAAACAGTTGCGGCGACACGTGAGCAATAGGGGGCAAACCCCTGAAATTATTTGATTTATTTTTTTTGTTTATTCATGTAATTTAAATTGTTTATGATGTAACGGTTGTGGCATTTTCCCAAATACATATATTAAAAATAATAATAAGAAATCATATATTGAGCTTAAAAAAACCCCCAAAACACAACTCATCACGTGACGCAACAGGATTTGAACTATGTGCATGCGCATGATCACTTCCGGAATACGTTAAGCTAACATAGATCGTTTTTTTTTTTTTTAAACCCAAAAGCTCCAGAAATGGAATCACAGAAGTATGATGTTTTTTTTTTTTTTTTTTTTTTTTTTTTGGGAGCATTCTCCGACCCACAAATAAACATTAATCTGGATTAAGGAGATCAACTGAGCGGCAGTTATCTGTCTAGCGCTGATCAGGATGCTAACGGTGTTAGCACCGGACAGCTAGCGGAGCTAAGCGGAAGGCCTCAAGACGGACGTTGGTCAGAAAATACCGTGAGTAAAGATGTCGCCATTTTCTAAAAGGAAGACGCAGGAAAAAAAATCAGGATTTAAAATAGGAAGTTTTTTAAATCAAAGATTTTTACTCAAGTAACAGTAGCGATACTTCATAATAAAAATACATAAATGTAAGAAGTAGCTGTCCAAGAAATTACTCAAGAGTAAAAAAGTATTTGGTAAAATGTCTACTAAAGTGCTGAGTAACTGATCATTTAAATTATTGATCATTTAACATTTAAAAATTACATAAAAAAGAAAGTTAAGTCAAAATTTTGATATTTTAAGGACCATAATAATTCATATAAGTAACAAAAATAACAAATGAAAGAAAATGTTTCCAAATCAGTTTCTTTCAATAAATAAACTTATGAAACTTTAACAAAAACTGCAGGTGTGTGTTTGGTAAAATTTTAGTTAAATGTTCATTCAGTGGGAAGAAAATCCAAGTAAGAGTAGAAATACTTTATGAGAAAATTACAGAAGTAAAAGTAAAATACTCCTAAAAGTAAATCTTTTCAAAGAAGTAGATGTAACTGAGTAAATGTAACTAGTTACTACCCAGCTTTCCCTGTTTCTGAGCCGTCTGGGTCCAATCAGTGGATCAGCGGAGCCAGTCTCCGGAGCCAGCCATAATGGAGCCGGGCTCCCTGGGCCCTGACGCTTGATCCACATCTCCCAGATAAGGTTACAAAAGAGAATAGTGTTTTCATTTAGGAGTTGTGTAAACTGTTAAAGCGGCCTATCTCCGCGTTTCTTTTTGTCTGAATTTTTGTTCTGACTAAAAAGTTTTCTTCTGTCAGACTGAAGAGGTCACATAAACACAGATGGATGATGAAAATAAGGGCGTTGTCTGATTTACACAAACTGTGGCTCGGTGGGAAAAGTAGCAGAGGAAGGTGTGGATTGCTAGGCAACGAAGAGACCTGATTTTTTGGGGGGCCATTTTTGCTGTTTGAACAACACCGGTCAGATTTTTTTTCGAATGCACTTGGTTATCTGATGCGTATCTTTTCAGATGTGACCTGAATCCTAACAGCTAGGTCCTGAACGTGATTGACGCTCGACAGACGTCACTATTCTGCGTCCTGATGCGTGCAAGCGGGAAGAAAAACAACAGCCAGGATGGACAATAATTAGGATTAAGTTGCTACTGTGCTGGTTCAAAATCTTGCATGTGAAATAATCTGGCAGTGGAACTGAATCAAAAGGTGCTTCTGTAAAGTTTTCGTAGTTTTTTACCCCCTAAATCAGAGACGTAAAAGTCATTTTGATTTTTAGCCACAAGAGCCAGAATGTATTGATAAAACCCATTAATGAGCTGTTAAAATATTAACAAATAGCTGTCTAAGTTTGATAAATACTTCTTAAAATTAAATATTGAACAGTTTTCCACATTGTTCAGTTGACCAGGATTTTGTGATTTATTTTGTAATTTTTTGCAATTAAAATTGACATAACTTGACATCAATTAGGGCTAAGGAAGCAGTGTAGAAGAAGCAGTAAGACATACTGCCACCTACTGGTGGGAGTTAGTCATTCAAACACAATGTTTTTGAACATTTTTGCAGAAAATTTATAATTATACATTAGTGTGAAAAAGTGATTGATTTTGGATTAATTTTCACAAAAAGAGGAGGGATTTGATTGCTGTAATTTGGCAGCAAATAGATGAGAAACTGCTTTGATTTGATTGAAAAAATAATATTTAATCGCATAAGGTTCTGGTGTATATGGGCCAGATTTAAAGCTACACAGCAAAAACTGGAGTGTTAAAATTTCAGGGTTAAACGTGTCAGAGTTAATTTTAACTCAGTAAGTGTATTTTTAACATTTAGCGATTTAAATGATGCCCAGTGTTGGAGTTATTTCGCAGAGTTGATTGCGTTGGTGTTGAATTAACTCTGCTGGGAGATAAATAAGCTCCTCCCCTCTGCTTCAGTTTGATTTCAATCTGAACACGGCTCCATTTTCTTCATCTCCTGTTCTACACGGTAAGTGCCCAACTTACTAAATATTTTGTCCAGCACTATTACATTGACAGAGTGAGTGATTTGACTATTTCTACTAATTACCACATAATGAAAAGCAGCTGAATATGTCCATTTTGCAACAGTTTTACACAACATGTTAGCTGGTAGCTAGTAGCACTTACACCTGATATTATTATAATGGTAATTCTTACAAAACATATTTTGTCGGACCATACACTCGTAAAAAATATACTTCTACGTTTTTGCCGTTTAAAATGATAATTTTGGCCTTGTGAATGTAAGCTAACGACTATTAGCTTCCGCGGAGCGTCAATGAGCCGAAGTCACGTGACACCAATAGCAGAGTTACAGTGAGGTGAACTCTTGACCTTTACCTTATTTTGCTTTGTCTAGGTTTATCCCATGCTTAAATAAAATGCTGATCCATGTAAAGTTTGGTGACCTGCAAAAGTATGTGAAGTTGGAGGAAGTCGAAGGGCCGTTTGACTTTAATCAGATTCATGAGAAAGGTTTGTTATTTATTCATCATCTGTGGGGCATGGGCATTATTCTTTTCAATGTATGTCTATTTAACACATATTTTACACATTTGTGGTAAGTAAAAATTGTATTTTCATTAATAAGTTTTATGCTAATCACATGATCAATATCAAGTAACTGTTAGTTTAAAAAATACAGCTAATTACAGAATTAGGCTCTAAATCTTGCCTTGTTTTTTCAGTCATTGAACAATTTTGCCTGCCACCTGATACCAAAGTTACATACAAAGATGCAACAGATACTGAAGTTGACGAAGAAATATTCAGTGACCTCCTTAGACAAGGCAATGTGGTACAGACAGTTTTCTGCTATGATGGTGAGATAGCAAAGCAAATTAAATCAACAGTTTTACAGATTTTACCAAAGAATGTAACTGATGTCTATTGTCTCTTTCTTCAGAGTTCTCAGAATGGTCATCTGCTTCTGACTCAAGCTTCAACTCAAATGCATCAACATCAACAATACTAATGGATGAGATGCCACGCAAGAAGCAAAAAACTGAGAATCCTGATAACTCAGTGTCTGCTAAAAATGTAACAATATTTTTTGTCTGCCTCTAAATTCTGTTTTGTATGCCCAGACATGTTTTGTCATATTTTGGTCATCTGCATATTGCATATTTCCTTTTTTTTTCTTTCTTTTTTTATTGTTCATTTTATAGCTGGTTGAAGGTGTCCTACAAAGCAAGTCTGGTGGTGAAGAAATTCTGCAGCAGTATGAAACTACAGAAACCCTAACTGATGCCACAAGAAGACAAATGGTGAACATACTGGTGGCTCACATGATTGATGAACAAGGGTATGTTTTTACACTATTTAATTTATGTATAATAATTGAAAAAAAGGTTTAATCACCAATTTAAAATCTGCTGTTAGGCACCTCCCCACAAAAGCAATCAGAGAGAAGTATGCCTTTGGAATAGTGACAAAGGCATCCCTCAAGGATCCATACACCAAAAAAGGCAATGTAATGTTTTTTTTGTTTGTTTGTTTTCTACAATCAATCATGCTCTTTTATTTTGTGACTCAAAACTGTAATTTTGCATTTAATTTTTGTTCTTTTTTTTAGGAGCACTTTTATGATGCAGCAAGCAGCACTGGATACATTTCATGGCGTCTTAAAACGGTCCTAAGGAAGATTCAAAGAGGATCTCTTGTGCCATCAAGTAGCACCAATTACATTTCATCTGGAGGCCCAAATATACAGAGAACTGTGATTGTTGAAAAACAGCTTGATGGGAATGCCTGCCAGGAGGCCATATCTCTGCTTAACCACACCACAGACAGGTCCGTGATCTTTCAGAAGATGAGAGAGACTTTTGAGCACCGTCACAAGCTTATTAAAGATGCCAGTGGAAGAAATGATATATCCTGACCACATTCCCGGGGTTCCTGGACACAAAAGGATTGGTAAGTGTTCAACTGAAGTCTTTAAATGTGGATTTTTACATTGTTATAATGGTTTGATTTCTACATGCTATTAAAGATTGATCAAGACTTCCGTCTCCTATTCAGTGAAGAAACCTCATCCAGACTGCTGCAGAAGTGGGATGTGTTCTTCAAACCAAATGTCATCAAGGAGGCTAAGCGTTTCACTTCTCCACCTGAGTTGAGAAGTTTGGTGCAGTCAGCGGAAAGTCTTCAAAGCGATGACCTCACTAACACATCTAGTAAGTACCTGGATATATCTGAAGATAGTTGACTATTCAGAGTATTCATAAAGTTCTGATATTATAGCTGAAAACTTTTATAAATTTGTCCTCAGACTATGACCAAGAAATGGCCTCGCTGTTACTTCTCTTACATCTTCTTCCACCGCAACCAGGAGGACAGAAGTCTCCAAAAATCAGTGCAAGTGATGCAGATGAGAGACTTGTTGTCATTCATAAGGTAATTGAAATTTAAAATATGCAAAATTATTTGTCTATTTCCTTTTATAGACATGCATAAATACAGATGTTTGAATGACAGCTTTGAAGATGTCTGGGCATACTTAAATTAATTTTTATGTCACATGTATCGTAAAGCTGTATGTTTTGTTTCTAATGTTTGGTGTATATCTTTTTAATTTTAGTCATGCTGCAGTTTAGAGGAGCATCTTCGGGGACAATGGGGTCTGCAGCCATACCTCCTTGCTGTTGGGCGTCAGAAAAGCAAGATTGACAGCTTCTACATCGTCATGGATAAGTGCCTCATCCCATGCCAGACAAACAGTTCTCTTGGAACATTTGATGAGCTATTCAAAGCACATTTTGTGTTTAATTTCTCTTATGATGCTGCATTGATGAATTTCTACACATTTCTGCAGACAACAGTGTATAACATTGACGTGGGCAAAATAAAGGAATCGCTCAGAGTTAGGGACGTGAGAGCAAGGCTGCTAAAGAATCCGTTGAGCTCTCTTGTGAGTTAAGTCAGGCCAAAAAATGTTGACCTGTTTTTATGTGTCAAAAACTGTATCCAAGCGGAAACATTTGATCATCATCATGCTTTCAAAATTGTTCAAAGTGAAGAAAGGCATTTAGTAAAAATCCCTGAACTTAAATTTCTTTTGATATTCAAAACTCTTATGGCATTTCTAATGAATGTTTGATCATTGTACCACAATTTAAAATGTTGGGAACACAGCTGCAAAAATAAAGTGTTCAAAATGTATGTACTTGTGTCAAGTTTTTTTTCTTAATAATTATTATAATTAATCATAATCATAAAGTAACTTTTTTGGAATGAATAACACTTGAAAGTGTTAAATCAACACTAATAAAGTGGTAAATTTTTGTTCCTGGATCAGTGTTATCCAGTATATCCCACAGTGTTGAATTAACCCTGTTTTGTGAGTTAAATAAGTAACTCTGATAAAGTGTTAAAATTTTAACTATATTGAAAGTGTTAATTTAACTCTTGATGAGAGTGGACTATATAAGCACTGAAAAAGTGTTAAAATCAACTCTGTGGGAGTTAAATTAACACTGGACTTTTTGCTGTGTATGGTGGGCTAGATTCAGCCCCCCGGCCTTGAGTTTTGTTTAATTATACTGGAAATATTTCACATTAGAAGTGGAAACAGTTTGTAAATTCTAAAACAGTATCTAATTTTCTTTTGTTTTCGAAGCCTGAAATTCAAACTCATTTATCAAGCCGGTAAATGTCTTGATGTAAGGGTGTTTCGTCAGAAATTGGGGTCAAGATGAATGATTTAAGAGAAACCAAACCACAATAAAAGCGTCCGTTTCCAAACATGCACAGGGAGAGTGAAGAAAGACAAAAGCGGAGCTGGTAACCAAGCATGAGGGCAGTTCAAACAGACTGAACAAAAGGAAACTGCGACTGCAGATCTAGATCCTTCGGTAGTTTGGGTTGAGACAAAGCTGTGTTGAGAGGAAGAGAAAGATATCTGCTGTGCACATCTCAGGGCCACACGGGCGCCCAGGTGAAACAACGAAGCAGGTTAAGGATGCATGCTTCTCTTCAGAGATGCTGCAGATACTGAAGGTCTGGAGATTACATAAGCAGAAGGCAACAGTCTCCCTGCGCTGGCGACACGGGCACAAAAGGCACAACAATGGGAGATCTGATGGGCAGAGGGATTAGGAGCTGGATCTGGAAGGCGCCAGGCCAGTATATCAGAAACGCAGAAACTCACAGGGACACAACAAAGCAGTCAATCATAATCGTGCACTGCGAGCATTGTCTTCAGAGTGGCTGACTGGCATGCAGGATGGCGTCATGGGGGATAAGAAAGAGGAGAGGAAATCTTTTGTTCTGTCATCAAACTGTGCAGACTTTCAGTCCAGAGTAAAAACAGATCCTCAGTGGGAAACCAGACTGAACAGAGGTTTGGTCGGCACACTGTAAAACATTTAAAGGTGGTGTAAGTTGAAACTGAAAATCCACCTGCTGCATTGAAAATGCAATTAAAGTCAAATGGTTTTGGTTTTAATTCAGAAATTAAAGTTCATGAAGTCGATTGAACACAAGAGACAAGTTCTCTAAGCATTGTTTTTAAGTTCATTAATCTTGAATTGTGAGTATTTACTTAATGCTGCAAATTATACCAAATAATTATTTCACAATATGCAAGAAAAAATATACCCTCACCTGCCTAAAGAGCCACATTTCTCTATTATTTTACTCACAGTATCAAGCTTAAATAAATACTCATTTTACTTAAGAGTCATTTAAATTCTTGTTTCAAATTGCAAGAACAAAATTTCTGATCTCATAAAGAATTTTATTAAATTCAGCTCAAAAACATTTGGTGTGAACAGGACATTATCTTCAAGCTTTGCATCGAATAAACATTTATTTATAATAAAACACGAGTTAGATCAATGTAACAACACCTCCATCTCAGGATATAAAAACACGCCACTAAGCATTCTGGGAAATCGTTCCCACTCCTGTCTTTTTCTTCTTTCAGCTTTTTTAAGTGCATCTAAATTTTTAAAAAAAAAAGTTAAAACAAGTTTATGACATTTAGGTTCAAAAAAACTTATTTTTTAAACTTAGAGACAAAAAAAAACAGTGCAGGAACATCTGCTGTGATGCGTTTGTTGGCCAGTCATATTTTAACCTCACATATCATGATTAAAAGCATATTTTTACATTTTACATGTTAGTGCCACGTACTTGTCAGGTCTTGTTCAAGCTGCCTCAGATCTCGGTTAAGGTCATCAAATTTGACCTGAGCCGCCATGAAGACGTCCTGAGGTTCAGGGAGAGGAAACATGGACTTTTCTGTTCCAGCATTCTGAGGGAATACAAACAAAACATTAGCTTCAGCGTTCCTGCTTGGTTAATAACAAACAGCGTTTAGCTTAGTAAATTCTCTGTCAATCGTCGTTTTAAAAAACTTGGAACTTATTTAGTTTCACCATTTTTGACAATTTTCCACAGAAAAACACACAAACAAATCCTTCATTTAAAGCAATCTGTGCAGACAACTAAGAAAATAGTTTAATTTCCAATACCTTGTCCATGTTGTGCAGGTAGTACGATACTACATAGTCCACCAGGCTGATCCGGTTGTCCTGAGAGGAAATGTTAGAGCCACATCAAAAATATAAAATATAATACAAAAAATTTGTTCTTTATTATATGATGTACCAAATTTAAAGATATGTTAAGTATCTCAGTGTAATCTGAGAAGTTATGTATTATTTGAGCCGACTATTGTCAATCTACCTTATTGTTTGTGATTTAATATGAAATATTCAATGTTTTTATAGATATATTGCAATTATGTTTGTTATTTTGTTAAAACAATTAGAAATACATATAAATCACTGCGTATCAAATAGGAGTAATAATTTTTATTATTGCACACATATAATTGAATCCAGAACCCTTTGCTGTAATAAATATGTAACAACTGAATTTATTTACAGTTTTGTAAAACAAACTATTATGTTTGTTTTGCTCCCAAGAGATTCTAAATCAAGTAAAAATTTTGGTTTATATGTTATAATAGCTCTTCTAATACCACCAGCATTAGAAGTTCACAAATAAAGACAGTTTTGTTTTACTGTTCACTGTCAAAAGTATGAACTGAGTTAAAGGATGCAGAAAAAGAGTCCCTGTTCATGTGCAGATATCGGCGCTCACCCTGCTTTTGACGTCTTTCAGTTTCGGGAGGATTTCCAGACCAAATCCGTCGGCCTGGCCTCTGATTCTGCTGCCTCCGTTCATGTGGTTTCCCAGCGCCAGCACCAGTCCAATCACTTCCCTGACACTGCTGCTCTCCAGCAGAACCTGGAAACCAGATGCACTCATTTGACTGGGAGCTGATGCTTATTGGAGTTCTCTTAAGGCTTTTTTTTATGGTGGCCACCTTGCAGACACATGAGATGGAGCTCAGTTTGCGTTTAACTGAGGAAATCCCATCGGTGAAGGTCGACTGGAAGATCATGCAGCAAGCTCTCCCAGGAAAGTCTGGAATCTGAGACAGTTCATACAGGAACCTGGAGAACATTCATAGAAATTATCTTCTCATCCAGTTCATGTCAGCAAGGCATGGGGAAAGTTTTTCTGCCATAATCCCAGAGCACATATTTTCAGTCTGAAAGCAGGATTTCATGTCTTTCTTCTCAAAACCTGAAATGCTTGTACTCAAAACTTGTCCCTGCTTGGATCAAATCTCCGCTTGAAAAGCTTGCGAATCATTTTGTACTTGCGCTTTGAACAATATCTATAAACCTGGATGGATGGATAGATAGATGGCACAGGTTGCTACAATCGATAGTAGCCACACAGGCACACCCACTAGAAGGAAACAAACGCACCCAGTAGAACAATTGCATTCTATTGGCTGAGAGGTTGCTAGGCGCATCTGTTCCAGGTGCGAGCGAGCAGAGATGAAGAGAACGGTTAGAGAGAACACAGTGAATATTTCAAAGACAGACGACGGTTTTAGTACTTCCTCCTTTCAAAATGTAAATACAAGCGAAAGTATTAAAAGTTTTGAGAACACATAATGTCATGAAATCCTGCTTTTAAACTGAAAATGTTTGCTCTTGGATAATGGCATAGTTGATTCTGACCACAAAATGAGTTAATATAAAAACTGACTGCTCAGGTTTGTCCAGCAGTTTAACATCATCTTCCTCAGACGATTCGCAGTGTTTCCTGATCTTCTCCAACTCATCCGGTTGACCTCTCTATTAGCAAAATCACATTTTAAATCAAAACTCAGAACATTTGCTTAACATTCAGAAAGCTTTGGGTGTAGTACAAACATTTTCATAAAGTGCTTCGATGGCATCCAGGTCCACCACAGAATGATCAACAGTCAGAACAGCTGAAAAATGAAAAATTACAGAAAAGGTTTAAAAGGAGAAAACAAGATTTGTCAGATGCACAATAAGTGGTTCATAAAATTCACATTTACCTTTAAAAGTCTTTGTTATTGTTAGCTTATTGACGCAGCCTGGTGCAAAACTTCACATATTTTCTCCTACTCTCCATTTTTAATTATTATTATTGACATTGATGCTGTTTTTCCTTTCAGTTTTTTCATTCATACATATTTTTTTTCTGCCTATTTGCTTTTATTTCCCATAGAAAATATTTGGTAGTTAATACTTGCTAAATGAAGTCCTAAAATAATAAATAAAACGGTGGATAAAATCAAAACTACTCATATGAAACCCAAATTTACTCATACCTCAGGATTGTTTAGATTTAAAGTTGTATTTTATTTTATTTTTTAATCTAAAAGTCAAAATATCAATGGGAACAACAATTATGAGATTTTTCAATTATTTATTGAGAAGGGTATGGATACTTTTGACAAACCAGCTTTCAATAAAATGTAAATAAAAGCAGAGTATTATTTTTTTCTACATTTATACTTCTTTAACATCGTTTTTATATATTCTCAGCGTTGCCTCTTATTTCTAATAAAAACAAACTAATTGGTTGAATAAAACTGTTTTTAATCTATTCCTGCTAATGATATGAATAATCTTTACTATAATCTCCATATAATGCAAATAGTATTTAATTCTAGTATTAATTCACATATACATCATATTCAGTGCCTTCAGATTTAAGGTATCTTTTGAAAATAACGTTGCAGTATAAAAATAGTTTTTCTTATTGTTCTGATGTCATATTCTAATTTTAAATGTAATGTTTTCTATACCTAAAATAGGAAAACCATCATAATTAACAAAAACAAACCTTCCAATCTCTATGATTCCAGTTTATAAAACTGGTGTGTAAATGAGTGAAATCCACAGACCTCTCTGAATATCTTTCATCTCCAAATGGAGGCTGGATATGAGGATGCCCACAGCCTGGGAGCGTTTGCTGTCCAGCAGCTTAACGATCTAAAAAACAAAGGGTTACTGTGAAAACCTGGCCATCAGAAACCACTAATGAGGCGTTCTTAAGGACTGAAAGAACCCAGATCATGTTACAGTGTTTCCTTCCACATGTCAGTGCCATATTTTGCTATTTCACATCATGAATTTAGTTTTAATTGTGTGTTGGTGAAAGTCAATGTTTTAAATGTTTATAAGAGACATAATAATAAGAAATTGGAGTTTTTATTCAGATCATACTTTGGAAAAACTATTTCAGTTAATAAATTGCAATTATTAAAACCTAAAATAACGATGATTTTAACTAATAAGAATTGAGAAAATTCAGAAATTGATTCCCAAAAGTATTGGCATTGACTCCCTCTAGTGGGGAATCAGTATATCTTCAGTGAAACAGTTTCTGGAAGCTGAGTTATGTTTTATGTTTAAAGGATACTTCAAACCTTTTTGGCTTTTGCTTTCTTCTCGTAGGCCTGAGACAGCGGCTTTCTTTTCTCCATCGTCGTCGTTTTAGCAAAGAGATCCTCAAACTCATTGGTGTTTATGTGTGGTTCCTCTAATGTGTTCCACAGCGAGTGGTTACTAAAGATGGAAAAATAAATCAGTCACATTAACTGAAGAAATTAGTTTCCCAATATGTGTCTATTTTATTTTGTGGTGCACTTAAAAATGTCACCACATTTATTTTGGTTTAGGGTTAGCTTGTTAGCTTCAGACTCAATCCTAACATAGTATTCTGCTGCTTTGACGTTTCTGTATAACAAAGTGAAGGTTTAACAAGCTTTTGCTTCTACCTCCACTTTTTTTGGGGCTACACTTTGCGTTCTTGCCATTGACAAGAATTAAATATCACCAATTTATGTACTTTTTTTTTTTTTTTTTTACTTGTGTATGGAAAAGTTAGAAATGACCAAAAATAGATAAATATTGAATATTCAAAATAAACTTCCAACCAATTTAGTTTCAAATGCTCCAACCTACTTGTCGTCTTGGATCTGGATTCTGGTCCAGTAAAGGGGCTTCATGGCTCGGGAAGGTTCCACTGCCCGCTTTCTTGGAGGTTTTTCGGCAATGACGCCCCCTGCTGGTGGAGGAGGTGGCAGGTGAGCGACACTTGGTGGTGGAGGTGGTGGTGGAGGTGGTGGAGGAGGAGGAGGAGACAAACTGTGTTGTTTCTGAGAACTAGGAGGATGACTCTGAGGAAATGTTGAAACCACAGAAGAAGACAAAACGTCTCCTGTGGAAACCATGTCCGGATCTTTGGAGGCTCCCATCGATGGCCGAAGTTTCGCGCAGGTTGTCGTGGCATCATCACCATCTTCAGGACTTGTGATGAGGTTTTCTCGGTCGGTCTGGATGCTAACATTGCGGAAGGATTTGCCTAACAAGCTGTCGGTTGTTGAAACGGCAGCATCTTTGAGCCCATCTGGATGTTTGCGCCAAACCTGTGAGACTTTAGCTTGTAGCTCTTCAAGCATCAACTCCAGGCGAGCAACATTGTCTCTGTTTTCGTCCCTCAGTTTGCAGAGCTGATGCTCATAATCCTCCTGAAAATAATATCAGTAAGAGAAGAAAATAGCGTGGTCACTCACTTTAGCAATCAAACATTTATGTTTTATTTGAGCAAAAGCTGAAACTTGTTGTGTTGTGGGATAAAACCACAACACAAAATTCTTTAAAAAAAACATATATTTTTTTAAATATTTATTTTTTAAAGAAATTTTCTTTGAATTTTTTGGAGAAAAAATCTTAACGAGAATAAGAGTGACGATGGCAGAAATTATAAAAGCTGTCAGAAGGCAGAACTGTGTTGCAATAAGTATTCCTAAAAAAGAAAATTGATCATGGATGTTATATTCAAAACTTATTTTCAAATAGTTTTTATTTATCTGTGCTAGCAACATAATAAAGTAAAAAAGGCTTTAGTGTAGTCATCAATATTATTTTGACGTTCACAGACATATTCTTGATCTTATGCTATATTTTTAATAGTCCTTCTGGCAATAATATAATATAATTTTACAAAGTATTCTATTGTAGCTCGAATAAATAAGTACCAAATCTTCCCAAAAAATGTTAAAATTATAAATTGATCTCAGAAATATTCTAGAAAAAACTTTGACCTTCAAAAGTTGCATTTTTTTTACTTTTCAAACTCAGACATTTAAAAAAAAAAGTTTTTGTAGAAACTTTCTGAGAATGTTTTTGGCAGAAAATTACTGTTTTTTTTCTATCTGCAAAAGCCTAAAAACTGATAGACTTTGGGCCTTTTATAAATTGGAAATGTTTCTTTTCTAATGAGTCTTCAGGTTGTATTTGTGTGCAAGTCTGAAACTAAGATTTGATATTTTTATGTATGTTATACTGACCTGTAGCTTCTCCTGCTCCTGTTTGCATTCTCTCTTCAGCTGCAGCAGAGCGGCCTGGTGCTCTACCAGGAAATAGAACAGCATAGAATAAGAAATAAAACTAAACAAGACCTCTCAAAATGTCAGCATTTCACTGGAGCCAAAGAAATAATTGGAAAAAACCACAACAATCATACAAATGTCTCTATAATGTGACCAGATGATTGCTGCAGATGCCAAAAGATCCAAACAGAAAGATTTCTCACGGCAAAAAGAGGACCGCTCAGTTGCATCTTGATCAAACAGTTTAAGCAAACATTCATCTGCTGATGGATGACTAGAATTACTAAAAGGTAAATTAAAAAGTGTATTTACTGTAGTCTTTCTCACTGTTTGCAGAGATGTGGGTGTGTACAGTGATGCTCAGTTTCACTATTGCTCAGACATCGTAAAATCCCTCAAGTCATAAAAAATATGAAACTAATGGAATACTTCTTTCAACACTTTAGATTTTTTTTGATTCATTGTGACAAATATATACTGGAGGAAATTTTATTTAATGAAGGAAAATGTAAAAGTTTAGTAAACAACAAATAAATTTTTAACAGTGTTTAGCCCTGCAAAAATCCAAGAGGTTTTGCAGGGCCTCCTACTCTAAAAAGATTTAATGGTAAACATATCTGGACTCAGTTCATTGAGAACCAAAATTGCAACGTCTGTTATATTTTCAGCTGGTGTGGTTCATTTTCACACTGAGTAACCTGAATTTTCACGATAACTCTGAAAAAACTGGAGGGACTGATTGATATAATTTGGCAGTAAACAAATAAAAACTGCATAGATTTGATTGATAACATAATATTAAAGCACACTTAGTGTTTAGTCTAGAATCTAGAGGGCCACATAAAACGCTACGACGGTCCAGACTTGGCCCACAGGCCTTGAGTTTGACACATGTTCTAGGCAAACAAATTAGTCTGATGTTATATATGATCAGTACCTGCTTCCGTATACTTCAGGCCAACCTTTTCCTCCTTGAGAGGTGGCCACACGGCTTGCAGACGACCGGGAGTTTTTTCCTCTCCTTCTCCTGCTGTGGGCGTCTCTGACTGCAAGTTAACCACAGAGTTATTTTGACTGAAAATATAGCCTCTGCTCCCTGTAGCCATAATCAGAAGCTATGCAAAGTTTTTAAGCCTGCATTTATCATCCTAAAAGGATCCTGTTTTGCGTTCACCAAGAGTTTCTGCATGAAACATAAATCATGCTTTCTTACTTTTTCATCACACGCATCGTTCTTCTCCAGTGTTTTTTTGGAGGTTCTCTCAAAAATTGTTCTCAGCACATCTTTATCGTTTCGCATCTTCTTCCTCAATGCCTCCAGGTCGATCCTCTCTGTCGAGTCTTTCTTCAGAGGTTTTGGTGTGAAAAAGGCCTTGAAGGCATCGAAAGCAGCTTCCGCACTCGACAGAGGTCTGGTCGGCTCGACTGGTTTTGTGTCTTCTTCTGCTTGAGGTTCTCTCCTCTTACTGTCTGGACGTTCATCATTTCCATCCAGCTGGGTTCTGATTTCATCCTGATGTGGTTCAGTCACCAAATCTTCATCTTCTTTATCACCAGGGGTGTTTTCTTGATTCAGAAGCTGGGAGATCTGGTCCAGAAATCCGTTCTGGGTCTTTGTATTGCTCTGTTTTTCTGTGAAAACTGGACTTTTTGCAAATGGAGGACTCTGTTTGGTTTGAGAGGATGTGCCATTTTCAGGCCCACCGATTCCCTTCCTCAAGACCCGCAGGCTGCTGAAAAGAGTCGGGACCGCAACCTTTTTGTCTGTTGGGCATCCTGGAGAGAAAGTAGCTCTAGTCAGCGTTGACCCAATCGGAGGATTAACAGTTTGTTTGTTAATATGAAGTGGAACGTCATGTGGGCTGGAAAGGAGATCTCCAGAGGCGTCTTCTCCTTTATATTCAGAATATTTCCTCTTCTCTTTATCGTCAGCATCCTCCAATTCTGGTTCCTGATCTTCAACACCATAAATCAAATGTTTCACAATTATCACTGGATGTTTGGTTTCTACTGCTTTATGCACACGATGGAAACAATCTTTCTGAAAATGTGCACCATTATTTTCGGTCTCTTTTACGTCATCTTGTTTATTGTTTTGGGGACATTTTGGGGAAATAGCTTCATTTATTCCAAATTTGTCCAGTGACAGATCAACCTCCTTGCAGTTATTAACTTTGCCTTCAACTGCAGAGTTAATCTGATCGTTATTCGGCATCCAACTCTCCATATCTGAAGCAACTTCAGTGCTTTCAACCCAAGTTTTCTGTTCCTCAAGGATGTACTGTTTCCTCATTTCTTTTTCTGTGAAAGACACATCACTTTGCAAAGAGTTTGTGAAATAGCATCCAGGATCATCGAACGGGTCGGAAGCGTCTTCAGACTTCATTTTGCTGTTAACGTTTGTCAGTAAATCTGCATTTTCTGCCTCCATTGGGTTACTTAAAGTTCTTGGCTTTTCCGTTTGATTGAATCTAAGATTTCAGAGAGGATTATTAGTCATTTGTTAAATTATTTCATTGTTTCCAGCATGCAACTTTAAAGGATTATTAGCAAGGAAACTTCACTTCACTGTTTCAGCCTTATCCTCCTGTCTGGCAAAAGTAAACCCTAGGCTCTCAGTAATTCACATGAGCCGCAGAAATCCACAGAAGGAATGGAAAATTTCTCAACTCCTTTTCCATTGCGCTGCTGGTTGGAGTGACTCAGCTCTGCCACATGCCATTAAAATCCCATCCGAGTCCCGATTACAGCCTTCCGATCCCTGGCTGGTTTCCTCCTCTGTGCTGCTCCCTACCTGGTGTGGTTGTTTACCTCCCGGACGCCGTCCTGCAGACCGGAGCGCAGACAGATGGCGTCTCTTACGACACCCTGACATCCTAAAAGGAGCCACGCAGACCAGATGGAGGAGCGCCACACCCACAGCAGGAGGAGGGCAAACAAGACGGCCAGGGATCCCTTGTTAAACATTTGGTATGTAAATACAATGGCAATGGACCAATTAAAAGTTTTAAAATTAATCAATTACATCTTGTGTTCTGAATTGAACTGGATATTTAACTTTGCATTAAAGAAATACTAACATTTAATGAGATTTTGCACAAAAAAGTCAAGAAAAGTAGAAAAATAATTCAGATACAGCTGCAAATCATAATTATTGTGATTTTAAATGGCAAACAAAACAAAAATTAAACAGTAACAAGATACATGTATAGTAAAAACACACAATATATTTCTTAAATGATCTTGTATTACATTTGTCTTGTACTGATTAAAAAGTATATAAAACAGTTACAAATGACAAAATCAAAATAAATGCATTTTCTAAAAACATGATTTAATGTAAAAATGTTCCACAAATAATTACAAGATAATTGGAAACTTTGTATGTAAATCACGCCCAACTGCAGCTGGTTGGGTGTGCAGTGGTTCAATTAAAAGTTTTAAAATTAATTAATTACATTTTGTATTCTGAATTAAAGTGAATATCTAACTTTCACTTTGCTTTTTTATTCAGTTTCAAGACAAAGTATAAAAATACTAACATTTAGAAATGTTTTGTACAAAAAAGGCAAAAAAAGACAAATCAAATAAAGCTAAAAGATAATAAAAAATGAATTTTAAATGCCAAACAAAACAAAAAACGTCTACAACAGTAACAAGATACATGCACAATATACATATAGTTATTAAATGATCTCGTATTGTTCTGATTAAAATAAATAATATGGTTACAAATGAAACAAAATTAAAACAAATACATTTAAAAAAATAATTGCCTTAATATAAAAACGATTCACAAATAATTACAAAAAATTATTGGAAATGAATTATTTTCAAATCCTCAGAAATTGATAAAATGATAGCAGGAAAATAGTTTTTAAAGTGCTAAAATGTTACACAAGGAGTCAAAGGATTCCCACTTTCTACTCGACTGAAAGAATCTTTAATAAACTGTTTTATTAATATAAAAACATCAAAATGAAAATGTAAACTTCTGCTTTCTTGTCTAGCTTTTGTTTGAATTATTCTTCCCTTTCAGGCTCCACCTTTGTTTGCCAGCAGATTAGAGGCAGAGGAGTGATAGCAAAGTTAGAGGATTTTATTACAATGTTTACTTTTGTCTACAAGGAAGCAGCTTTAATAAGCTGCACTTTAGATTATTGATACTAAGGGATCTAAACTTTCATGTTTATGTAAATTATTGGAAGAAGAATGCATGAATATGAACCTCTATTTTATCTAACATAAGAAAAGTAGTGATGTACTGCAGCATAAAAACTCTATATAATAACTTAGTGCTGTAGGTTTATAGAAGATGTCCACTTTTTTCTTTATTTTGCAACAATCAGTTTAATTTACCACAAGTGCATGAAAATTATCAGATTAAAAAGACAATATTAAGGTAATAGAACACATTTTATTGAAAACTTTTAAATGATTATGTTCTGTAAAACTAATTTCAAAGTCATTATTTCTAACAGATTATAATCTAATTTCCAATGCAACCAGTTTGTGTTGCTTTTAGGAATCTAAGTGATCGGATTTGGAGAAAATTAACCTGCTTAATGTATGTTTTAGTTTTAAATGTGTATAAAACATGAATATCAGAGCTTCAGCTCATCATTTCTATTTTGAATCTGCACCAGTTTCCCTAATACAAGTCCTAAAAGATCGATAACCTGTCATGTTTCAGCGAAAAGCTAACTTTTTGAGGCAATTTAAAATATTTTGTTTTTTTTTATTTCAGTTAAAAATATAAATATTGTCTTCTGAAAGATAATGATAAGAAGAATAAAATAAATGTTGGATAAAAAAGAAAGAAAGCCAGAGTTTCTATTATAAGCCTGGCGGGCCACCAGGCTAAGCATTGCTTATTTATTTATTTAAATGTTTCCATTTTTAAGACTTGATGTCAAGGTATTAATCTTCCAACCTTTCAGTAACACATAATTATCAAGTGATATTTTCAAATTTTCTGGCACCTTTAAACATTTTTTTACTCAAAAACACAACAGACTGCCGAGCGTCCCAACCACCAGGCTTAGCAGGTATTCTGGGGGAAAGCTGTTTAAATTGTGTTCATAATTTAAATCCAATATCTTGTTTCGAAATCTGTTATTGTGGAACTTAGACATTGCTTCACGAACAGAAGTCGGATTCATTCGGTCTGTAAATAAGATCCATCCTCATTGGGCAACAGGCCTGAGGCCAACTGAGGAATCTGCTCAGTTTTTCCTCTCAGGGTCAAATGAGGTTATGAGCAAACACAAATGGCATCCTATGATATAAACTGTAGATATATATTACTTAATTTTATTTTTCATTCTAATAATACATCATAAATCAGTGCAGTGCAAATCCTACTTAATGTATTCGGCTCATGTTTCTACATTTTTAGCGCATTAGGAGCTTCATGTCACAAAATATCAACATGTTTTATACAGATACCAGATTTTTTATTTTTTATTTTTAAAGTGATAAGTTTTATTTGACTCACCGTCAGGTGGGAGAGTTCCTCATCAGGAGCAGTGATGCGCAGGAAGTCGACGTGTTTTGGTCGTGATGGATGAAAGAGAGACCTGCAGCGTGACAGAGACTCCTCCACTTCCTGCTGCCAGATCTCCTCCTGCCTCTGCAGGGCTTCGTCTGCAGACAACAAGATGCAAACCGTCTTAAGTGTCATTAATTCAGAGATTTTTCATTGGCAGTTTTATTTTTCAGGGGGAAAAGGCACAAAAATTGCACAATATTATTTTGAAACTCCAAACTCTTGTTGGACATTTCTTTGCTCTCTGTGTTTGCACCAAACCCCTGAATTTTACGTCAATCAATGTTGATTTTAAGATTGTAAATTGCAACCTGCTGCGTTTCCATTTACCATATAATTGTGCAATTTGATATTTTTCAAAAATAAATTTGCTTAATGAAAACACACCAATTAAGAGAAACTCATTTTTAAAATATAGTTTTGCGGTGTGTTTTTGGCCTTATGGAAAAGAATTTATTTGGCAAAAATGCAGGAAAATGACTTTCTTTTTTGCGTCACGTGATCAACAACCGGATGTCGCCTCTGGCGCAAACCACTAAGAAGACGATGACAGGAAGTGGCAGAAGTATATTGGTGCGGCATGTTTTTAATGATTTATTGTGTGAAGAAAGTTATTAATGTGCAATTTCAATTGCGTTTCTTATTGTTAGAAACATCGCAATTGTGAATTTTTTTTTCCGACATTAGCACAATCTTTGCGCACATTTGTAATGGAAATGCAGCTCAGTAAGTAAAAAACGTTAATTTGATCAAATTAAGAGTAGGTAACATTTATTCCACTCCATAAGAACTCACTGACAAATTTTCATTATGTTTGCAATTAACTTTAAACCATAAAAGTGATGCTTGAACCCATTATTTGAATGAAACCCAAGCCAAAATGTTCACTCACTCCTGAGGCATAAAACGTAGACGCACTTTAATAGAGATGTCAAACAGTAAGGGGTGATTATTCTCAGACTGCTACACATCCTCTCCAGCGACCCTTAGGAGACAGCTGCAGATAACCAGATCCTTTAAAGGCAGCGTGTTTTAAATCGATGTGTAAATCTGACAGTCAGGGCTCAGCATGGCTCCGCTTTTCCTCTCATGTTCACTCAAGTGCTCAACCGTTAAAAAGTCAGTCACGTTGTTTCCCTCACTTTACCACCAGGGAAGACTTTTCATTATTTCCTCTATTTGCTTCTATACTGTACTCTGTTCAGAAAGAGTTACGTCCTGAACAGTAAAATAAAAGCTTTATTTTTGTTAATTTCGGTCAAACATCCGGCCCACCGGGGATTTTATGTAAACGGAACGGCTGAGAGTCAAATATATCTATCAAATCTAATCAATTTTTATCCATATACCCAATTTACATGATCCAGTTCCTACAACCTTTCGCATTAATGTAATTAATTAAACAATTAATGTATAACTGTGAGTTTATTGCTAATTTATCCGCATACAATTAGCATCGGTTAAGCTAATCGAGTTAGCATCACTTAGCCGATGCTAACTGAACCGCTGAGTTAGCGTCGGTTAACTGATGCTACCTAACTTCCACCTGCAGGTGGCACTGTTTCTCATCTCTACCACGCTGCTTCCTCACCTTACTTTTTAGTCCGTAGTCGAAGCGCACATGTAAAATTTCTTGTAAATCTTTCTTAATTAGTTCCGTAAATCTGTGATTTTGATTGCAAAAAATAAAAAAGTGATATTATAGATGGGTTATCAGTATTATTTAAATATTAAATAATCAGAAATCACTATTTGTAAATATTTTAATGGGTTCAAGCGGATATGTGCAACATTTGAAAATAATGCATAATTGTGCTAAACATGAGTTGAAAGTTTTTGACTTCTAAAATTGCTAAGCAACATTAAACCTAACTTTTTTGTGTTTAAAATTTTAATTTAAATGTTATATTTGATATATTTAATGAAGTAAATGTGAAATTTTGTGTTTCACTGTTGTACAAACCATTGATTAACCTTTTAGATTAAAATTAATTAATCTTAAAGGTAAATTTGTTAATTTGTAAAGTATTGGAGGCATTTTTACCAGAAGATAACAGATAATCTTCCTTCAGCTGCAGAGTTGACCACAGCAGCTTCTCATCCTTTTTTGCTCCTCTTGGGTTTGTGACGACCCTTTTGCAGCCGCTACCCCAAGCATCCAGCGAACCTTTTTCTGAATTGATCCTAGCTTTCTTCTTCTCAGAGTCTTGCCAGTCGGTCACATCGGTCAGGCTTGATGAGAGAGGAGAAGACAGGAGGGGGGACAGACTTCCTGAGCTGCTGGATGCAGAGGGGATTGGCGAGACGGCCTCTCTACCTGGTAGACTGTGCGACTGGAAAGGAAAGGTGAAGCGATGAGCATATGACGTTGGATTCATCTCAGTCGGATCTTCTGGTTTTCCTAAAATTTTAGATACTCTGTTCTGATCTTCCAGCCAGCTTGCAACCTGTTGCAAAGTGTCTGAAGATGCCAAATTGCTGCCATCTTCCTCCTCGTTTGTTTCTCTGATCCAGTCTGAGCTGGTCAGACTGACGCGGCGCAGAATCCCCTCCACCTCCCTGATCTTTCCCATCACTCTCTCTGCCGCGACGAGAACTTCAGTTTTCTCTTTCTCGTGTTTCTGGTCTGCAGTTTCACTGCTATGACTTAACATCTCGTTATCATATTCGGAAAGCTCGGTGTCAGAGTCGGCCTGGTTTGCAGAGAAAACCTCCCACCTCTGGGAACGTCCAGGAGAAGCAGCTGGCAGCTTCACTCTCCAAACCGGCTTCAGCTGCTCAGAGGAAGAAGTCTTTATCTGCTTCATTTCTCCTCCTGTTGCTCTTCGTCTTCTTTCTGTTGCTTCCTGATCAACTATTTGGCACTTTCTCCATCTTGCTTGACCTGGTGTTGCTCTGAAGTTGTACGCCGACGCCTCTTCTACTCTCCGCCTTCTTTTATGGGGCATTTGGACTCCAGGTGATGTTTGTAAGGCATCCCAGCTCTCTGTGTAGTAATTTGGCTTCAGCTTTGTTGCTTGCTGGTTGCCCATTCTCATAAAGGCCTGGCACTCGGAGCAGGATTTTAGCCAGTAGTCCCCCAACGATTCATCCAAGGCATTTAGGGTTTCTCTGAAGTCCGCGAGGCTGAATTTATCTGCCTGATTTTGCGTTGCTGGTTCATCTGAACCCTCCTCTTCACGCTGAGAGGTTGGCGTTTGTTGGGTGCATGAATGAGCATCAGAGACGGTAGATAAACTCTGACAGAACTCTTTTAGAAGTTTGTAAAAGCTTAGGGAAGAATAGGTGCTCTCCATGCTGGTGTTTGTAGGTGACGATTGTTAGACCTGAAATTGAAAATAAAACTTATATTTTTCCATTTCAATTAGCTATCAATTTAGTTTCTTGTTACTGCAAAAACACAAAATCTTTGCAAGTATGTTTGGTCTCGTTTCAAGTGCAATTTGTTTCAGTTTATTCAACGCAGCCAAATATTTTAGGCTGCGTTCACACAAGTGACCCAATTCTTGAAATTTTTGCCTTAATGTGACCTGAATCTAATCTTTTCATAATGAGGATTGAGTTGTTAATATGCTGACTTTGTTTGGATAACAACTTTAAAATCGTAAACTAAGCTCCACCGTTAACATCCATGTTCACACTGAGTACGACTATTTCTTCTTCTTCTTCTGTATGACGGTTGGGGAAACTCTCAGGTTCTTATTAAGTCAAACTGCACAATACCAGTGTATTTACCCCGAGTCATCAGTTTACAAAGCAGGTTCTCCCTAACTTATTTACTAAATAATTTCAATAATAATAGCATAACTTTGGACTTACCTTCAGTCAAATAGCATCCCTACTTGCAGAAGCAGGTCACTCCTTTGTTGTACCTGCTGTGATGCTCAGGTGACCGAGGAGTCCACCTTCTGTTGGGAAGCTTTCGGCCAATCACCAACTCAGGATGTAAACTCACACATCTCCCATTGGTTCGCCTCCCAAAGCTCGCTGGAAGCTAATCCCCCCAGAGGGGAGAAAAGAAACAGACGGAGGGGATTTGCTCTAATTAGTGTAATCTTCTGGACTTCAATCAGTGCCTTAGTTAAAAGTCGGTCAATGTTTATCCTACCAGAAGCCATAAAGTTAATCTTGCAGAAATGTTGCTTTTCAAGAGCAAACTTTGAGAGAAGGATGTCAGCTAACGGTTTGGCTGTAAGTCACATCTGTTTGGCTGAAGTTCACTGACCACTGGCTCTATTAAGGTCAGCTGTGCACCATGCTGTGCTGCACGGAAAGCTAATCTGACCACAGACCAGCTGCCTCAGCGCGATCGCTGTCCTTTAACCCAAACAAACAACTGCTCATGTGTCCAGACCAGACACATGAGCAGAACTTCAGAGGGTGCCAGAGGAGAAGATGGAGGATTTAGATGAAAAGAAATGCTAAAAAAAAAAAACACTTTAGAAATGTTAAAGTTTTCATAAATCACTTGGAATAATTTGGGCAGAAGTAACTTTAGATAAGTAATAACTTAAAATATAAACATAACTTTTTGCTTCATGTTTTGTGCAACAAAAATAAAAATTTGTTACAAATAGATTAATTCTGCTTTCATGAAATACCCAACAGGACCATGTTTATGTTCACCTCAAATGCGCCCCGCGGCCACTAGGTGGCAGTCATGTATAAACAACCAGGATTTGAAGGCAGTTTCCTTCCCCAGTCACCTGACCAATGACTGACCCCTACACTGAGGACAATAAATACTATATTTTCATGTTTTGTTTAATATTATGTAGGCAGAATCTTATAGTAACAGTAATTTAGAGCAATAAAAACATGATAATATTCAAAGTTAACCAAGATACATTATTTTTGTACAATATGTTGGGCTGGATATACATGGCTTACCCAAGACAGAAATATTTTTATCTTTAAACAGTAATTCAAATTTTTAAAAAGCAAAATTTCTTAACAGTAAAAGTATAAAGTTTAATTTTGACATATGAATCGGCTCATATTTTCTTAGAAATATAAATGTTTGTTAAATGTTTATGCATTAGTTTGTGGTAGAGCAACATTTTAATTTATTATGAAATATACATATATTTTTTAATAAAATCAAATAATTTTTAAAAATCTTTTTAACCATATGTGATTTACGGATTTAGTTTTCAGAATGTGAGATTTATTATGTATTTCATAATCAGTTGGAAATGTTTCTTATTTCTTTATATATTTTCATTTGCAACAAAATATTAACGTAAATATTCTGTAAAACAAAACAAGTCTTTTGAAGAGAGCAGGATGAATTCACATATTAATTAAAAAAAAAATTGTGATTAATTTATTTGCTTTTAATATCTTTTTGATTTATATTCTTGAAATATTTGTACAGCTTTTTTGCAAACCAGTCAGAGGAATCAGTAGGGGTTAAGGATGACATAAACGGACATAATGAAAATGATTTTCCTTTTGTCAAGAAATTTATACATTTTGTTTCGTCTTTTTCTACAAGCGTCCACAACAGGAATGTCTGTAGGGTTGAAATGAATCCTGATCCAAGGAAAGTGGCCACAATCAGATTTTTCTAATGCAGCAAAATAACAGATTTATGTGTAACTGAATGTAGATCAAATATACAGAAAAATAAGTACATCTTAGTAAATCTTCAAAAGATTTGGGTCCTTTTCAGAATCAGAGCGACACGTTTGATAATAATATCAAATTATTTCAATATTTGACTATAGTTGTGCAGCAGAAAGTGATCAATTAGTTGTTTGCATTCCTAATGGTGGCACTTCCAGCTCTGCAGCCACCAGGAAAAACCAAAATAGTTATTAAATGTGAACGTAACATGCCTTTTAGATGACTTACTGCAGCAATAAATGCATAGAAGCTGCTGATAATTCAAAAAAACTGATTTCTAAAGCAGATTTAATGTTGAATCATCTTTCTCTTGACAAATACTGAGCAGATTGTCTGTGGGGTTTCATTGAGGACGGTTCATAACAGAACTATTAATAAATATTATGGTCATAAAAACGAGCATCATTGTCAAAGGTAAAAATGAAAAGCTCTGTAGTTAATTGGTTGATGGTTGCAGTGACTTCCAGCTTGACAGTATTGTTATCTGAGCTTTTTTCCTTCCACTTAACTCTCAATTAATGTAATGGGATTCTCTAAAACTCCAACTTTTGGGGGTTTATTCTTCCTCTCAATGCTATCAGTGACTTTCTGCTGGACAACCAGATAATCAGTCGTTCTCACAAGTGTTTAGGCTGATCAGAAGTAAGTTTCCAAAAGTTGCACTTTATTAAGACTGCTTAAAAGTAAAAAAAAAAAAAAAAGAGTATCTGACGTAATATGTACAAATGATGAAATCAGACAGACAAAAAAACCTAAAGTTATGCTGAAATTCTGGTATTTTAAAGACAAAATGAAAATAAAAATACATGATTTATGCAACTCTTTTACAAATAATAGAAAACTATGGAACTAAAGCAAATAGAACCGGGTTCTGTAATCAGAACTGTGACGATAATAATAATATAATAATAATAATAATAATAATAATAATAATAATAATAATAATAATAATAATAATGGAGGAACTTGGTTTCGGTCTAAGAAAGGAATTCAAATAATTGACTTCCGGTGCCAAATGGCACAGCCAGCTCAGCCGGTAGAAAATATTAAAACAAAGCTTGTGAACAAACAGGAAGTCTCACTTCAACATAAACTGTAGATGTGTCTGTAGTGATACTTTATAAAATTGTTAGTAATGTAAAAGTAAAACTACTCCTGTAAGTACATTTCGAAATATCTAAATATGATCAACAACCCGGATGTTGTTACTGGAGGAATCTACAAACAAGACTAAAGGAAGTGCTGAACAAACTTTATCACGCGAGATTTTAATTGCGACTCTTATTTAATGAAAGCATTAGCTGGAATATTGACAAAGTTCAGCATGCATTTGTAATTAAATTACCGATATAAACATAATTTCAAGCTAAACGTAATTAATTAATTGCACCTGCAAACCCTCCATTCATAACTTCCTCCGCTGCTACTCTACAGAATGCGTCATTGTCTGATGAAAAAGGTGCAAACATTTAATCACAGCAACGATCATCGGCTCCAGCAGCAGCAGCTGCAGCAGCAGCAGCATCATCACCCTCCCTCTGTACTCTGTAACGCGTCCCGGGCTCACACCGCGCACTGCTCCGCACTGCTGCTGGGTGCAGCGAGGAAGAGGAGGAGTGTGAGGTTCGTGGAGCAGCGTGGGGTTGTAAAAGGAGAGGAGAGGAGGGGGGCTCGCTCGGGCTGCCCTATATGGCTGTGGATGAGCTCTATGCTAATATCGGCTTGAAAGGCTCAGCTCGCGTTTCTGCCGGCAGTCAGCGGTGGCTTCCAGTCTGAGGAGGCTCCTTCACAGCCATGGCTGAGGGCGGAGAAGGGGAGGATGAGATCCAGTTCTTGAGAACTGTAAGTAAAATAATCATAATAATAAAAAAAAGAGGGAGATCAAGCAGACTGAAGCGTTTCCGAGTCCCATCAACACCACAAACCATCCAAAGTGTATTTCTGCGGAAGTTATTGCGTTGCTTCGTCCGTGTCGCTGGTGCGTCTGCACCATTGATGAGTTTAAGTTGCCGCAGGTCGCGCGCTGCACGGCGCACCTGTCGGCAGCGCTCAATCCGCAGGTGCAAGGGCGAAATAATTAACCCGATGGCGCTAAAATCCACGGCCAGGTGGGTCGAGTGGGATGTCAGGTTCATCCCCGCTGCTTTGACTTTTTATGGGCGCATTCACCTCCAGGGGGAGAAGAGTTTCAGACCCAAGTTGTCCTTACACGCAAACCGCCCTCCGCGGTGACTATTTTAGTTGTTTGGCGCAGATTGATTACAGTGTCCCTCTCTCTGTGCGGCATTGTAAATGATATGACAGCCTGTGTGTTGGTGTGGTGGGAACAGATATAGTGGTGCCCTGACAGAGCACATATTATTCTCTCCTGCTTCATAAAACATTATTATTTTGGAGCTGCATGATATTGTCAGATAGTCTTGATATTTAGTATGAAACCATGTGCATTTAGTCCAGTTTTGATATCTCTGATCCAAAGTGTGCACTAGTTTGCTTTTTGGTTTGTTGAAATGATTCGATTCACACTATTGAATTCAAAAAACTATATTAATAATTACAAGCATCTGAAACACCAAAAGTGAGAAAAACGATGAACTGAACAGCCATACAAATCCAGGAGGTTGTAGCTAATTTCTCTAAACTGTTCAATCAATTTGAAAATAAAAGCTATTGATTTTTTTTAATACCTAATACATGCATTTTTAGACTTTGTTTTGCACACACGTCATAAAAATGCCAAACTTTAAAGCGTTTTTGGTATTTGGGAAATAAAACTGAGCTTAGATAAATGGTTACAAAATGTTACCATGAAGTAAAATAATTAAATGAATTTTCTTTCTGCAGTAGCTAAGATTAAGATGCTAACTACCTCATTAGCCTATTGATTGTTACTTTAAGGACCAACATTATGTTTGGTCATATCAGTTGTTGTTCCCTGAATGTGTGGTTTGTTTTTGCTTGAACAGAAAAAAGTTTCACTCTTTGTTCAACTCAGTTTTTTTGTGCTCTTTTGCAGTTGTACCAATTTTCTTGATGTACTTTGTCACTCAAGTGGTTGATTTACATTTGGTAATGTTGCTTGGAAATAGCATTTGAAGGCCTTGATGGTTTTTGTTTTGAATGTTTTAGATTTTTTTTAGAGATTCAGTGTAGTGGCGTCCAACATTGGACCTGCCTGGTGAACTCTGACAGCTTCCCAGATTGAAACAACCGATCATCAAATTGGTGATAAGAAACAGTAAAGTTCAGATATTTTACTGGATCATTTTTGCGTCGCCATGAAGCGTTAACATATTGAGATTTAACCAATAACATGATGTGATCTCTAGCTAAGCCAGGTTGCAATTACTTCCTTATATTATGTTA